CATCGGGACAAATACGGAGAGGTAGACACGGTATGCAGTGCGTGTGGAGAGGAGAGGAAACTGCCGAACAAAGGGATTCACCCTATAGTTCAGGATGATGGCGCAGAGTTTTTCAAAGCACTGGGGTTTAGGGACATGGAGGGCAAAATGGGCTTTAAGTGGGTAGAATTAACTTGAAGGAGGTTATCTGATTGGTGGCTAAAGTCAAGGCACAAGTGAAAATTAAACCTTTCACTGCAAAGTATCAGTCCTCAACCTCACTGTTTAAAGAAAAAAAAGATTATACTAGTTTTTCGTTTAATAAGTAGTGGTGTTAGCCACCGGCTTGGTGGTGTTAGCCACCGCGCGATCTAAAGTGTACAGCCATATCAATCCATTCATCCATCCGATAGGGTGCCTCGAAGCGCGCACACATCGAGGCACCCCACAAGGCGACGGTTTTTGATGGCCCGCGCCCTCGTATCCTCGAAGCACCTTTGAAAGAAAAGGAACTGAAAAGAAAAAAAAATTGTGGTTGATCTTTCGTTTCAGCAAATGGTGTAACACGCAAGCGAAACGTGTCTTCGGAGAGGTAGTTGAACATTGATTGTGCATTGTTCCACCACAAGGGTGACGCAATGAATGCTGCAGTAACCAATTGCAATGTCAAGCGAAGAACTGCAAGCAGCTTGATACTTGCAGCGCACAGCTCAAGCAGAAAGCACGCGCGAAATGAGCATGAACAGGACGAGCGCGAACAAGCTGTCACCATTCTGACTTCATGTGTGAGCAGCGCGCTCCATTCGTAAACGCAGCCGTGGCAGCAAGCGAAAAGACGATCGTGCTCTCTTTAACTACCGAGACAACAAAGCAAACTTGCGGCGGAAGTACAAGATGTACAAAGCACCCGAAACCCGACAAAAGCGTTGGCGTTCGAGTGAGCCACCACGCTATAGAACATCTACACGCACATCAACCACGCCATGTGGAGGCGCGCGACGCGCGGGTTGGCGCAGCACGATGACCTTAGAGCACGTCCGCTCAACGCGCGCCCGTCCTGCCATACCTTGCTACTAATCACTAAAACACGACAACGCGCTGAAGAGCGCGATGTCACTAATTCAACGCCCCGCTGCGAAAAACTTCCTTCTCGTTTTTTTTTGTGTGTGTGAAATCTGTTAGAAAATATTGCCATGTTCCTTCCTCAATTTTTGTTATTTTCCCGTTACACTTTACGTAATTCTCAGCGCAGACCACGCTTGCAGTGTTCGAGAGGGTTTCGGACTGTAGTTTATTATTCTATTAAGATCACGCCCACTTCAGAAACATTACACATTATTCTGGATTGTTATGAAATGAGAGCGCACTACTTAGACGTGGACAGAAACACAGGGACAAGCGCTTGTCCCTGTTTTTCTGTCTGCGTCTAAGTAGTGCGCTCTCATTTCATAACAATCATGTATCACTAACTCGCCCAATCAACCATATTGACAAATTATTCTGTAACCAACTTGGCCATAGCGATAACGCTAGAATATTCGGTGATACGTGTATAAATGCCTATGCGCTTCACCGCTTGTACTTGATCGACGGCCGACGCTTCGTGCGTCGCTATCAGTGCAAGTCTGCTACAGTAATACGACTTTCCGTTTACCGGACACAGGTTCTCCAAAATAAGCAGTTTGATCCGCACATCCAGTGGCCTGCCTTCGGCTACGTCCCGGCCCCGTGACAATGCTTCTAGCGTCATATTCATGGCAGAAATACGTCACGGAGCCATAGTGGATACCGGCATGCCTTAAAAGTGTGGCGTCGTAAGTTTCTCTCACTCAGGAGGTCACCTTAACAACGCCACACGGGCATGGGTAGTAGGGGAACGAAAAGAGCGTGAAAGAGAAAAAGGGGGGTGTCAGTGATGTTTAAACTGGCCGCGCGCTAACGCGCACCGCCTCTGAGCTGGGAGGAGAGAAAAAGAAAACGTTAGGCAGACCGCCAGGGTGCGGAGAATCCTTGCCGCACACGCGCCATCTCGGAGGCTATGCTCGCAACTACGCCCACTTCGTTCTGGTCGCTTCGTAGGCACGGCAGCACGCGACAAGTTTTTACGATTAGTGTTACGCACGGATACCGATACCCTCCCAAGACCCCTCAACTGCCTGATATCTGTCCCGTTGAAGGCCGCCTGATAGCTCCACGTCTGCCACTTGTGAGCGTTAGGCATTTTACTCATGGCAGCGGCCAGTGTGGCATAAGGGGCAGGGGTACGATTCAGGATGGCCTGAGCTTCTCGGGCAGACGAGTTTGCTCCGATATCACTCAGCGGCAGCAATGACACGAAGAAAGTGCAGAGCACCTGATAGCCGCGTTGATACAAATGGCTACTGGAACGCGCGTGGTGGTGGAAACGCCTGTGGAACAGTCGCGATGGTTTTCAAAGAAGCACCACGTACGAACACGTCAGCACCGCCACTCAGTGAACGTTTTAACAGTGCAGTGACGTCAGCGTGATCGACGTGCTATTTTTTTGCCAACCCAACAAGCGCCTCCCACGAGCGTGTTCGTGGGCGTATGCCCTCTTTTGAACAGGTTTTGTCGTTCCACCTGCAGCATGCAAATTTCCACACTCGAAGACAGCAATGGTGCACACGCGACATTTTCGCACTCCTAATTTCGATTATGTCAAATATTGAAGATATATAAGGACAGGTGGTCACCAGGGCGCTCGCATCATGGCGGCATCATGGCGGTAAAGGGCGATATGGGGTGGGCAGGTTTTGAGGCGAGGGAAGCGCAGAGCAAAATAAGGTTCGAAGAAAGGCTAAGAAATATGAAGGAGAGTAGATGGGCAGAGAAGGTGTTCCGTTATTTGTATAGGAAGAGCGTGGACACACAGTGGGAAAAAGAACTAGAAGACTCACTAGTAAGTATACGGCTGGTATTGTAAGCCGTATGTCAACAAAGAGCGTTAAGGGAAAAGTCAGGGAGGCGGAGAGGATTTACTGGATGGCAGCTATGGAGAAAAAACCGGCTTTGAGTAACTACCGAAAGGGCAAAAATGAAATAAGGAGGGAGGCATTTTACGATAATCAAGGGGAAGCGCTTTACTGTTTGAAGCGAGATCGGGTTGCCTTAGAACGCGTAGTTATAAAGCAAGATTCAGTAAAGAAGAAGAACAATGCACATGCTGCGGGAAAGATAAGGAAACGGCGGAGCATGTTCTGATTGAATGTGGAGATATCCACCCAGGTGTACGTTTGGGCACGAGCCTACAGGAAGCCTTGGGTTTTAGGGACAACAATGGAAAGCTGAACACACCCGCGATTGAAATAAGTAAGAGACGGTTAGAGTATTGGTGGCAGAAAATTAGAGAGAAAGGACAAAAATAAATATTGGAAAAATAAAATATGGACAGTGTGCCGTAAATGGCAGAGAACTTAAGCTGAAAATTTACCTTTTTTTCTATTAAGATAGAATTTATCGAAGTAGAGGCATTAGGCCAACATAAAAAGAAAAAAAGGGTTTTTTTTTTTGTCGAGCCTGGTGGCATACTTGTCACCACCCCGTTATAAAGGGGACGCTCATAGCATCCATCCATCCATCCAATCTGGCTGTGACCGGATACGTCGTGAGTGCAGTGAAATTGAATGCGAGACATCGTAGCCGCGTGGTGATGTCACCTTCACTTCTTCATGCGTGTATGCATAGTCTGCATGGTAAAGCTGGTAGATTAATCGTGCCGCTCGACGTGAGCACTGCTCCTCGGTACGAGCAAATGGGGGGGGGGGGGGGGGGGCGTACGCGATCTTGACAGCGGGCGTCTGTCAATCAAACTGATTGACGTGTGAACTGCGATACAAGCTCGTTGATTTTGAGAAGGCCCGAGTTCCTCTCCCGACTTCGACGGTGCTGGTGTGTCGATCAAGCGTTTGATGCGGGGAACCCTAAGCGGCAGCTTCATTGCGTATAAAATATTTTGGTAAGCTTGCACTACTTGTGCAAGGCTGGAGCCATAGAGGAGCTTGTGATAACCTAGCTTCTTGCAGCTTTTTAAATTGGTCGTCTACTCATGTGCGTGCTCGGCTTCGAAGTAAAAACCGCATCAGCTCTATCTAATTTGATTGTACTAGACAAGGCTTCAAAAAAGGACAATTCTCTCGGGCGCAATTAGCAATGCCATGATCTGTATGAAACTCTTAAACATGATCATGATTAGCAGGATACTAATTGTCATCATATTACTTACAGCAAAGTAGCATGGTTCTACCTTTGCATACTCGTGATTACGCCGCGTTAAGTAGCACAGTTTAGTTAACTCATCACTTAGCATGTTTTAGTTAACCATGTTCAAGCTTTATATGGCTTGATCAGCACGGTCTTCTTAATACGTGGCGTAATTGCCTCGACCCTATCATGATATGGCGTAATTAGCTTTGTCATAGCATTTGTCTAACTACCGAAGTATACTGTCCAGCCAAATCGCTAATTATCCAACCGCACGTGCTCGGGTGCTAGCGGCCGACGACAGCAAAGACGGCACGCACCGGTCGAGCAGCACGCTAGAATGTACAGGCTGACCTCGTGGCCTCGGGTTTCGCTGCGATGGAGATGTTGTGAGACGCTCGATCAATACTGATCTCAGAAGCAACCGTGTTGATTATTCTAAAACACACCCTATACACGCATTAAAAGCTTCAAAAAATTTAAACACCCCTTGACTCTAAAAAATGTCACCACGAAATGCTTCTGACACTTTTATTGCATCGGTTCACTTCTTCACTCAGTGGAACGACAAACAAAGAAGATACCTCTGGTTCGAAAACGCCACCCACTTTAGTCGAGCGCCCTTGACGCGATGACTGGTTTCATCGTAACCAATGAAATGCGGCGCACTGAAGGGTGGATAGCTTTTTCGTATTGCTGGCTCATTCATAGAGCTCGGGAATATCCTGAGTTTCGCGAAACTCGGCCGATCCTTGCATAAGCGCCCCGAGTTGGCTAACACGCCGATCGACGTGGCCAACATGGTGCAGTGCGAGCTGTGGAACGTACCCGACAACGCTCCCTTCGACGTACTCATCACGCGCCAGCTCGTAAGTGGTGCCCCGTCCTCGGACTCCTGTCACCGTGTTTCCATCTTTCCTATCTCTCCTATCTCTCATATGTCGTCGCTCGCGGTCCTAGCGCATCTCTCTTTCTCTCTATACCTTTAATCCTATCATTTTAATCCCTCCTCACCCCCATCCCTTGTGAGCTACTGTTGAGGTGTCGCACGCTGATGCAGACAGTTACGGGGTTCACTTTTCTTTTCTCTCTTATAACCACAATGTGTGAGGTCGTTAACAAGCATTTCTGCAAAAATAAATGCTCTCACCATGAGACGTCACGTGTACCTTCGAGCATGCTGCTCTAACATCATTCACTTTGTGTATATGGCGGCGATATTTTTTGTCCTACACAGGGACAAACACAAAGCAGATTTATTTTATAAAATAAAACATAACAGTTAAACATGTGTCACCTTCGTCCAAAAACACTACGTGTACGCTTAAACACTGGCCTCTCGTCAAGTAGTATTGATACGATTTTGTTAAATTTGTCTATTACCTTTTCGTTTAATAATTAGCTCGAAAGCAGTTGGTTTTTAATACTTCTGGCATGTTACTTTCTTGACGTCAAGGGGGGAGGAGGGGGAAGTGATTTTAAATGAAAAGAAAAGTGAGCCCCGTAAGTGTATTTCAGGTGGAGCACACCTCGACAGAAGCTCATGAGGGGTGGGGGTAAGGAGGGATTAAAAGGATAGGATTAAAATGTAGAGATAGAGAGAGCGGAAGAAAAGACCGAGGCGCAGGGGAAGAGACATACGGAAGTAAAGAGAACATAGGAAAGATGGAGACGGTCGCAGGAGTCCAAGGACAAGGCACCATTCGGCGAGAGCTCTTGTCGGCATCGGGAGATGTCGTAGAGCGAGCCCAGTCGGCCAGAGCTGCGCTGTCGTCGGAGATCGCGGGGGCACAACCGGTCGGCACGAAATCCAGCGAGCGAGTCTTGACGTTAATGCATGTGACGTTTATATGTGTCCATGGGAAGTTGAGGAATTCACACTGCCAGGATCACGACCAAATGACTGCAAAATCAATTTTTAGCAGTACGGAGGCACAATAAAAAAGCCAAAATCAGTAACAGTTATCACGGAGCGTATATCTGTGTTAATATTAACCACTGTTTGCCTAACTTGCGTAAGCTCTTATATTGATTGCCTGGTTGTGATTCGCAGAGTCTTTGGAAAGCAGTGAGCAGGATACTGCTGCAGGCGAGCGGTAGTACAAACGCGGCGACACAACGACTCGGGAAATGGACACCTTCCGCGAACGATGAGGTAAATAATGCTCCTTCACTTAAACCATATCAACTATCATTGGTGTCAACGGAGCAACGAAGTGGCATGTCCTTGCGCAGATAGAACTTAAAGACGCGGGAATGTAGATGAGACACATCATTACATCTTCGCAGTAGCCTGAACCATTGGGGGGGGGGGGGGGGGGCTCTTTACCTTGTTTGTCCTCAAGTGCTGGGTTGGAGGGGCACATTATTTGTACGCCCTCACCGTAAAAAAAAAATGATGCATCCTATTTGAATTCCGAGATGGTAATCTGTAAAAACCGAAACTTTAGGCAAACGGCGTATCTTTTCCTGGAGTCCGTATAGAGCCTATTTAACTTGTAAACACGAACTGAGCTATGGGAAACATTTTAATCGAATGATATGTGGGTTTTAACGTCCCAAAACCACCATATGTATATGAGAGACGCCATAGTGGAGGACTCCGTAAAGTTTGACTGCCTGAGGTTCATTAACGCGCATCCACATCTGAGCACACGGGCCTACACCATTTTCGCCTCCGTCGAAAATGCAGCCGCCGCAGCCAGGATTCGATCCCGCGACCTGCGGGTCAGCAGATGAGTACCTTAGCCACTAGACCACTGCAGCGGGGCTGGGAAACATTTTAATGACATATTTGTTGTGCCTATAAATGCCTATTTTAAGGTTCGTGTTTTATCCGCAGAGTCTAAAAATGCCTTTTCGTGTTGGTCGAATAAACGTTTTGCTTGAGTTGTACATATGAAGGAAACCAAGAAGCACTTGATGTGGCCATATTAACGACAACACGTGTATAGCGCGCTAGTTGCTTTTTTTTTTCGTTCATGTTTTTAGCTTCTGGTGAGGTGCGATTACGGTTCGACGTAGGGGCGACGCGTGCATAAGTTGTGTCACGTCGGCGAAAACAGATCATAAGTCGACGCACTGCCACAGTCGACGAATAACTAGACTTGGCCGATGCGCACCGATGCCTGTGACGTTTGCTAACGCTCCGATAACATCGCACTATAAACGCGCTTTTTACATGAGCGGGGATTGTACCCATCGAGGCGAAGCCAGGGTAGAATTTATAGCGCTAGTGGGACCCCCTAAAAAATTTCCGTTGTGTTGCTTGGTTCGAGACTAGTGCAGCATGGCGGTTGCGTGATCGTGGCTAGAGTGTACTGTAGCGAAGTGAGGAGGGGCTAACGCTAGTGCACCCGGGCCCCGGCCCCTTGAAGATCCCCGTCGCTAGGTTCGAGAGAAGCGCAGCGCAGCGGTCACTTAGTTTCGGTGGATTAGAGTACGTTGTAGCTACACTGCAGTGTGGGTATACAACGTACTCTAATCAGCCGTAACTAAGCTATAGGCTAGCACTGCCACCTACAGCCTATACACGTAACTTTAGTTGGCATTTATGTTCTTCATAACGGCAGCGGTCGGAAGTCTACCGGGAAACGCTGAACAAAAAGAAGCCGTAAAAGTGTCCTTGTTAGGAAATGGACCAGTCTACCACATCGCTACTCCGTCGATCGAGGAACGGTCCACGTGGAAAGCAGGGAAGAAGACATTGCAAAAGTCAACAATATTTTGAGCTTGATATCCATTCTGAGCATGTATAGTTATAAAGCTCCAACATTACTCACGCATATGCCAATTTATTTAAATAACGCCGGAATCTGCGCAAATAACATGTGTTTTGTGATCCTTTCATGGGCACAGAGATTCATTTTGTCATTTTTATATCGGCATTTGTGAACTCGCATGCACCAATTACAGAGAATGAAGCCATATGCGAAAGCTTCACTGACACAAGCCGCTTTCAACGTTATCGCTTGCACTGTACAGCAATCCACAATTTAAACTTCTCGAGTAACATCATGCAATAAATGATATGCACTCAGTGATTGAAGTTCGCACCAGGGCAAGGCTATCGCCTTCGCGTTCAACAAAGCAAAGCTTAATGATACCCAGTTTTTTCTGGACGAGCACGAAAGGTTCACCCACTCTTCAATAGACTGGTTCCTTACAGGGTTGCCTCAAAGCTTAAATCTGATTTGAAAAGAATCCCAGATTGTATCTGCAAGTGTCTAAAGTTTCGAGTGGTGCTGATTCAGGTATTAAGGATGCAATTAAAGCATTGAAAGTGCTAGGCCACAAGTACGCTTTCCTAACTTCAGAGACCGTCGAGCGTTGTTTTTCGCATAAAAGCAAACACTGACTCGAAGCAAGCACAATTCAAGCCCGAAAACCTTGAGATGATGCTGGTTTCTGACTGCTTTCATAGTCTATCTCACAAAGTCAAACTGACTCAGCGTTTGCCTGAGTCTGTTCAAAATAATTTGATTCTTGTTAATTCTTTTCGTTGAAAAAATTAATTTTCCTTTCCCAACGTAGAGAATTAGCCTGCTCTGTTTGTTAGAAGTTGAATATTTGTCCTGAACACGCTACTGAAATCAATATAAATTGCGCCTATACATGCCTGAACGATTGTTTTTAACGCCTCTTTATGCCTAAATGGCAGTTTCTAGGGCCAATGAGAGGCTCCTGAAACATATTTTTTTTTTGAAGTTCCAGTTTCTCCGTAAAACGAACTGGGAAATTCGAAGCCCTCGTAACGAGCTCAAAACGAAGTGTGCCGGAAATATTATCATGGTGCGCTCTGAAATGCAAAGTAAAAATAATGAATTTCCGATGGTCCACCGTTCGTCAATATACGTGCACATCATATTCTTACAAGGAAACGTAGATTTACGGATATTTATATGCGACAATAATGGCTGGTACATTGGCGGGCTGGGACCACTCTCTATCCACTGCGTAGTCGTCCCTTCCAGACAGGGACCCTCTACCGCTATTTGCCAATCCCATTACTGCCTTGTAGCGCTACCCCGTGGCGCAAAAGCACCGACCCGGCGCTTGTCATGAAAGTGGAGTGTTGGGTGACACATACGGTTTCAGTACAACGGGCACAATTGTAGATGATGCTGGCGTTGAGCACGCGGTACCGACAACTCGCTGTATCTCGTAGGTGAGGTCAGTTACCTTGCGCAGGACTTTGTATGGTCCGTCATAGAGAAATAAGAGCTTTTTTAGAGAGGGTCGATTGTCACAACATGAGGTCCACAGAGCACTAGGTGAAACCGTGGTGTATACGAAACTTCATGGTGGTTGGCAATCGTACCGGTCTTTATTAGAGGCTTGAGAAAGTGTAAGCCGTTCTCGGGCGATCTGTCGTGCTGCGTCGGCTCGTTCTATGGCATCGCGGACGTGTGTGGCAGGGGAGCTTGAACCATCGGGAAGGAGTGTACAAGAGGCAGTGAGGGTTCACGTCCATAAAAAAGATAAAACGGGGAGTAGCCTGCGGTGCCGCGTATGGAAGAGTTGTAAATGAAGGTGACGTAGGGTTATGTTGTGTCCTAGTGGCGGTGGTCTAGAGAAACATGCATCGAGAACATGTCGGTGATAGGGCGATTCAGGCGCTCCGTAAGTCTATTAGTTTATGGATGGTATGCCGTTGTGAATTTGTGGTCCGTATAACAGGAACGTACGATATCCTGAACGACGCGAGATAAGTATTGGCCTTGGTCAGTGAAGAGCTGTCGAGAAGCACCGTGATGCAAAAATGTCATGCAGTAGAAAGTCCGCGACATCGGCAGCGCAGCTGGCTGGTAGAGATGGTGGTGAAAAACATTTATTAATTTATTTGCAGTGAGTTGTATCGATAAGGCGAGTCTTAAGGGCCCGCTTTCACCAACACCAGGAGAAATCGCTAGTCCGGTATCTCTGCAGCTGCTGCGACGGCTCGGGGCTCCAGCCACCAATGCCTGTTGGCTTGGAGGTCAGAGCAGCTGAGCAGGACAGCTTCAAGTCTGTCGAGGGGGTTGGAGTGGGATGGGTCAGTGGGACTTGAGGGGCCTGCCCACCACATGTGATAAGTGTTCAAGACTCCTCCGCAATGTGCAGGCATGTGTCCGAGAGGCCGAATTGAAAGGCTTCAGTACTGCCGGGCACAGTACAGTATTTCTGAAGACGCCCAGCACTCCTCCGCCCTAGTGAGGCCTTTACAGAGAGGGGGGGGGGGAGATAGAGACGCGAGAACATTAGCCGGATTGAAATCGTGCTCCGGAGCGGGCTGCGGATAAAGCGATGCGCGGGCGGCATGCGTCGACTGTCTTATTTCCCTCAAGACCCGCATGAGCCGGAGCCCATACGATGGTACGATGGGCCGGATATCCCGTGTACGGCCGGATATCCCGTGCGAGGGTGGGTGACCACGTAACGTGTCGCGTAGTCGGTCGCTACGGCAACTCATTGGTTCCCGGTGCAGAAGTGGGAAATGGTCAGAGAAGGTCGAGTCCTACGTGGTAGAATAGTTCAGCAGGGATCTCAATAGGGTGAAGGAGGCCATCGGGAAGCGTTGTTGGTCGTTTTAGACGATGACAGAGGTCGCAGCTGGCGACATACTTTAGCAAAGAGCGCATGGCCAGAAAAAATGGCACCGAACGCGATCATATATGCTGGTGACTCCCAGGTGGTCAGCGGTAGGATCATCGTGAAGCTGTCGGAGAACATCTCCACGCAAATGAAGAGAAGGTTGTCAGGACCATTGGGGCGCATGTGGTGGCGGTAGAGAACCCCTTCGTGAAGGAAATACAAGTTCAGGGAAGCGGGTAGAGTAGAGGAACTCAGGCTTTCTATCATCATCATAATCATCATCAGCCTGACTACGTCCACTGCAGGACAAAGGCCTCTCCCATGTTGCGCCACTCAACTCGGTCATGTGCTTGCTGCTGCCAATTTATACCCGCAAACTTCTTAATCTCATCTGCCTACCTAACCTTCTGTCTCCCCCTAACCCACTTGCCTTCTCTGGGAATCCAGTTAGTTACCCTTAATGACCAGTGGCTATCCTGTTTACGTGCTACATACCAGGCCCGTGTCCATTTCCTCTTCTTGATTTCAACTATGATATCCTTAACCCCTATTTGTTTCCTAATCCACTATGCTCTCTTCTTGTCTCTTAAGGTTACATTTTCTTCCACCATTTTCCTACCATTTTTCTTTCAATTGCTCGCTGCATCGTCCTAAATTTACGCTGAACCCTCTTAGTAAGTCTCCAGGTTTCTGCTCATAGCTAAGTACCGGCAAGATGCAGCTGTTATATACCTTCCTCTTGAGAGATAGTGGCAATCTATCTGTCATTATTTGAGAGTGCTTGCCAAATGTGCTCCACCCCATTCTTATTCTTCTAGTACTTCAATTTCGTGGTTCGGCTCCGTGGTTATTACCTGCCCTAAGTAGACATATACTTGTACATCTTGAACTTGGTTATGGCATGCACTCGACTGCTAACTCGAAGGTCGCAGGATCGAATCCCTGCTGGAGGCGAAGATGTTTGAGGCCCGTGTACTTAGATTATGGTGCACGTTGAAGAACCGCAGGTGTTCGAAATTTCCTGAGCCCTCCACTACTGTCCCTCTCATATACATAAAGTTTTTGTTTCTTTTTGCCGCGCTAATGTTTTCTATTTTTTCAGACTCCCTTTTTACCTCAAACGAACGCTGAGTAGAACCGCCTTCCCCTTTCTATCGCCTGCATCAAGGACGTATCATCATTCAAGGCTGCACTAACCGATTACGCCTTGAGCCTAAAATATCTTAGTGTTGTTTGAGCATTCAGTTTTCATTCATTTGTCTGCATTTTATTTATTTATTTATTTGTAAAGTACTGCTAGCCATAGAAGGCTGTAAGCAGGAGTGGGGATACAAAGGTGAAGGAATACATGAATAATACGCAAAAGAAAGCGATCACAGCATGCTACACAATGAGTAAATTTCTGCAGCAATAGTGTCAGCACTTCGATAAACACAATATTTCCTAGCTGCACTGTTCTGCATATGTCTTGTTTCTGCATTCATTTTGTTTTTGTACTGTTCTCCCCCCCCCACCCCCCCATATCTCAAACGCATGCACCCTGAGGTTAAAATAACCACTAATCATATCGTGGTTTCGGGACGTTCAACCCAGATATTATTATTCATTGTGTGTTAGCTTATATGACGAGCAGTTTCGGTACGTGAAGATGAGGGGAAATTTGACGACCTATGAATCTCTGCGCAAACCTCTGCCCAGGACTGTACCTTAGCATTATTTCCTATTATGCGCCAGGGAACCGCCCAGCCAGGGACACCGAACGGCCACCGGCTTCGGTCATGCAGTGTCCACGCCTCACCCGGACCGCTGGTAATTAGCGCTAAGCTGCTTCACAGGGGTGGAAGGGGGGGGGGGGTGCAGTCAACGCAACGTTCGGGTCCTCGGTACTGATGGACGAAAATGACAGTGCCTTGTTGTGTGCCGACGACTTCATTCCGATCGGTGCCGACGTCAACTCCAGTGAGTGCGAAACCCGGGCAGAAACTGCGATTTTGTGATTGGACACGGCAAGGACTCGCGAAGCATTAGAATCGCTCGACAAACGATTTTCAACTGTGAACGGAGCAAATATGTCGCATAAATTCTGCATATATTTAAAGGGCTCTCTGCTTAGGTTGTCTTAAGTGGTTGCTGGTACAATATTCAGTGCTCTTGGTTATGTTACCCCATCCCAGCCTTTACAGCACTTATATGTATATAGGCAATGCGTTAACAAATGCATCAAACTAGAACTCAATGATTAGATATGTAGGTCTACCTCTTAACTTTGTTTCGAAATTTTATATATTGTTGCCTGATCATTGGGAAGAAGATATCCGCAATTGTTTTTGCTGTAAAATTTTTTTTCGAAGCACAGTAAATCGATGATGATGGAGAGGTGTAGTGCTACGCTTACCAGCTCTGCTGCTTTTTTTTTTGAATTTGGCGATGAATTACACAAAATTATATGGACGCTTCATGCCTCGAGTTTGGTTGACACTACATGGTGCTTTCGCTCAAATATGTTTAGATTGCCTGCGTAGAGTAGATTTTTAAATAAAAATTCTCAAAGTTCACCTAAAAAACGTTTTTCTGCCTAGTTTGCAAGCCTTTATTTCACAAAGCGCTGATGGCAGAGCAGTGAAAATTCTGCATCGTTTTTTCAAAGTGCTTATTTATAAAACTGCCAAAGCTTATAATAATTCCTTTTTTCAATAATAAGACATAATTGCGGTAACATAAAAAAATAGCACGCAAAGGAATCTTCTGACGAAAACTAAAAAAGCATTTTTGATATTTTTTATACTTTCCCCACTTATTGTAGTGCACATTACCTTTCACAATCAATAAAAAATGGTTGATTTATGTGGTTTCGCTTGCAGTTACGGCCCATCAAAAAAGTCCTTGCGCAAGGATAGGCAACAGTAGATCGGACTTCCTGCCCGCTAGGTATGGAATGCAGGCGTAGTCAGGCATGATGATAATGATGATGATGATGGCGCTCTCAAACAGGGCGTTCTCAAAAGAGTTGGTTACACCAACAATGGCGATGTGCTGGAGTTTGCGACCATTGGAAACGTCTTCATGCATCACCCCGGGAGGGATGATTCTTCAAAGAGGGGGAGTGTACGTGGAAAATAGGCAGGGTTGGAGGGAAGACGAAAAAGGTGTTCAAAATAAATGAGATGGCTGACACCCCAGCCTTGTGTGCTAGTGCAACTGTGTATCATTGCATATAGTAAACAACGCTGCAGCATAGCTCTTTACTGTAGGTGCCGTTTTTTTTTAGTTTTCGGCGCTGTTAGGTATGTATATAGTATGTTAAGTCTATAGCCCCCTCAAATGACTATGTGCCTCATTTTTATCGATTAGACGGAAACCTAATGGTTGCGTCAAAATCTTACATCACGGTGTTTTATTGCGGGAACTTCAAGGTGGCATCGCCACCCACAATTTCTGTTCGTGCGTTTTTCCGCCTATGATGCTTGCTGTCTTCTTTCTCGTTGTATGAGTGTTTTGATAAGTATGTCATTGTAAAGTAATAAGAGGAAAATCAATTTTCTCGTAAGTGTCCCTTTAAAAAGCGTCGTGTCACTGTTATCTCTCATTCTTGTACTTTTTACTCACGCAGCACGCTCTTTAAAGTCTGATGCATGGTATTGATCAAATTTTGGCACGATAACGTGCCTGGGCATCACACTTGTTAACCATAGCGCAGCAGCCCACGACATTTCGTCTTTTCGACACGCGGGGCTGCGATTCAAAGGCGCGCTCTAACATCAAAGCGTGAGCGCCATAGAGTTTGGTGAGGAGCGTTGACAAACTTCACTACGGTGGGGCGCCAGTTGCCTATAATTTACAACGGCTCGTCTAAAAAAAAAAAAGCAAAATGGGTTATAATTTACGGTGCTAGTATGATTATACGATCCGTTAGAGCACGTTAGAGCACTCAACAGCAAGAATGCACTCGAGCGCACGTGACGTGGAACATAGTTTCTTCAGTAAATTTCCCAGTGAACTCTGTGATGTGAAAGAAATAATGCGACAGGCTTCGCGCAGCCTTCATAAAAGCAAGGAACCGCTAGTAGTCCGATGTTTGCATTGTCCCTGAAACTCAGAACCCTGCACTGAACTGAGATGCTTAAGTACAAGAGTGAATAAGGTTTCCATCAACGCCCCTAGTACTTTCAGACTCACGACATGGTGAACGAAATAAATTGCTCCAATTTTTATTGGTGTCTGACTCTGCAATGGTGGACTATAAAGAGATAGCATGATCAGAACTCATAATTGTTGACTTTCCAGTGCATTTCTGGAAAATAAGAAAATAGCGGGCGTCAGTCCTCGTCCAATAACACTAAGTTGACTTTATTTCACCTGTTTCGCTAAGCGAAGCCGGAAAAGTTTACTTGTTTGGCTACGCTGTGTGCCCCTAGCGGCATTCGGTAGAACAGTACGCAACCACCTCAACCTTTCTCATTTTCATTTGTCGTGGCTGATTTTGACAGGCCGTCAAGTTGTATGCGTCGTCGTGTATAGTGGTTGATGCCGACGCGTTTTCTGACTCTCGGCGAGCGTAGTAAACATATGTTGTACGCGGTGCGAGTGGTGTCGAGCTGACATTCCGAGAAGAAAGTGTTTTGCCTCGTTGGTAGCCGTCTCGATTCGAGCACTTGCCCTCCCTTGCACAACCGATCATCGCCGTGGAAGATATCAGGTAAGCGTGCGATTGCTTTGCTCTTCACGCCATGCCCGTACTGTTGCTGCTCACTTGGCAGGATTCGTGCCGGCATGGAAGAGCACGCGTTGGTTCCCGACGCCGCATTTAGGCCTAAAATTGCTCATTTTGGGGGACCAATTTGCGACTGTGAGTCGAAGAGCACAGTCGCCGTTTCCTGCCTCGGTGTCTGTCGGCACTAGTTAGTGGCTGAATCCAGCGGGACTTAAACACGCCTGTCTACTCCGCTTCGGTGCGTTTGCCGGATAGACAGCGCGCATGCCGGCCTTTTCCTGAATGCTTTTCCGTTTGAAACGGGGTATGCTCCGGTTTTCGGAGCGTTCAGACGTGGTCACCTCGCTGAAGAAAGTACGAATAGGGGGAAATGATCGCTGGCGGCCGTGCCGAAGTTAGCCACGTCGCGACAGCGCCCGGGGCTACTAAGAGAGCTAGTTTTCTCGCCTCGCCGATTCATTTCGATGCAATCGCGCGTGCTTTCTGTGCGTGCAGCCGCGACCTCGGAAGCATTAACGGAGAGATGCGACGTGTGATTAGTTCCTTCGGCGAGTGGAAGTGCGTTCGTGAGGATGCTCTGGTTGTGCGCGCGCGCGGCTGTCTCGTTGACAGCTCTCCTCCGCGCGTTGCGACGCTGGTGCTAGAAGTGTGGCCGCTGGCGTCATTTCAACTCATGTCAATTCGTAGCTGAACTCTGCATTTTCTGCATGAACTGTAGACGCGCAGTGTACGATTGTTCATTTACAGTTTCACTGATGTCTTTTTTTTTATCTTTTCACGCTGTGACTTGCAATCCGCATCGTTGCTGTCAATGCGTGTTCCTTCGACAGACGGAATGCTGGCGCTTTCTCGGCGAGACGTTATTTCGGTCGACGACTTGGCAAATACTAAACACGTTGCGCTTTTATTACAAGGAGGTCAGTGCTACTGGAATGTTCGTATTACCGTTGTAAGTAGTGCAATATTATTGTTGCAACTGCGCACCTTAGATTCGTGATGGAGGCAGTCGAGATCGTTCTTCTCTCTCTCTCTATTTTCTTTCAGCTTGATTACAGGTACCCATATGACACCTGTACGTCTTCTTTATATTCGCTGCTCATTACGTCGTGAACAGCTGTCTTATTTTCTTGATTATGTTTCCGCTGCTCAATTTACAGCCGTCTTTGAATCGAGCCCTCAACGGGTGACCCGATTATGTTTATTAATGCTCTCACGATTTATTGAGCAAAACTGCCCCTTAATCAGTCGTTGCCACCAACGTTATCTCAAATGAGGTCACCGATGGATTCTGGTTATTTTCCACACAACAGATAACCAATAGCCATATTATTCCATTTTTCCAGTGCAATAGTCTTTTTTTGCCGGCCGAAAGGACAACGTGCGGCAAGTTCTCAACCCGATTTGCTAGATTATCTATTTAGATTCCATATAAAATAGTGAACTCATTGGAATGTTGTAATTAACTGATATGCAGCTGACACTTCTGTTTTTTTTTCATATTTACCACTTGCTTTTGTATAAATGATAGTCTCTAACAATGAAATGAGTTGCATTTATCATGTCGAGTTCATTAATCTTGGATTTGAACATTCCGGTTTTGTCATTCGCAAAAAAAAAAAAAAAAACGCAAAAATCCCACATGGCACGCCATTTATCATTGTTTGCTATTACCTATTTCATATTTTCTGAATAGTCATTATTACCATTTCATTATGTATCGACCGTATTGTTGTTGTCATTAATCAAGCTTGTTCATTATTTCTGACACGTCCGTATACTTTTGCTGCATTGTTTTGCAATGACCCCGTCCATGTGGCCATACGAGCTTCCTGTCTGGAACTTTGGGACCTCCTCCTGTAATATGCTAACCATTTAACTCAACTGAGCTGTTTAATAAACTAGACTTCAATAGAGAAATGGTAATTCGACATCTGCACACGAAATCACGCCTAAGTGATCTTGTTATATAAAAAATGGTGTGCCGCGCGTTTGGCAGCCTTTGCCGTCCATCATGTCAACCTAATGTAATGATGAGGTTTCATGCACCAAAAGCACGATATGATTTGATCAAGGTTGATTGATTGATTTGTGGGGTTTAACGTCCCAAAACCACCATATGATTATTAGAGACGCCGTAGTGAAGGGCTCCGAAAATTTTGACCACCTGGGGTTCTTTAACGTGCGATTTGATCAAGGGGCACGCCGTTTTGGGGGCGGGGGGGGGGGGTGTACAACCGGGTTAATTCGGTACGCCCGTGGATGCCGAACTTTTACCTGAATCTTGACGCTCGGTTATGCTTGCGATTCGACCTCCTATAAATGCGGCCACCGTGGTCGAGAGTCGAACCCTCATCCCTTGAGCTTTCGCAGCGCTGTGTCTTATCTGCTCACCTGTCACGGCGGCTGTGCGATGTCAAGTTCTTTACATTGTGTACATTTCGTAGCATAAGTACCGTCTCTCGCAACGTAGGCGGGAGACCGCCAGCAGCCGTCATCAGCTGCACGCATCGACGGAGCGTTCACCCGCTCTTGAGTATTATGCTTAATTTACCACGTTCTTCGAGCAGCTCGGAAAGCGTCAGCCGTAAATTCGGGGTCGAACTTTTCTTTTTTTTTTTTTTCGCCAGGCTTCTTCTACAGGCACTGAAATATTGGGAAGTTTGACATGGGTTTTTAATGGCGCGGACATCGTGACACTCCCGTTTCCCCTTCCAAGCATCACCGATCGAGCACTTCCAATCTTAATCATATTCATAAAATATTCTCTAAATAGTAGAAATCGATTTATCTCGCTCAGTAGTTACATTAGATGCATATGATATTGGAGCATAACTTTACTTGATAGAAGCACCAAGGAGGATCGACAGAAATTGAGTTGTTTGAATTATCGTGAGCACCTCGGATCGCTGCGACACCTTGCGAAGCAGATCTCGACTGCTCGCTTCCTTCTGCGTGGCCTCCGCGATTCACTTCACCAGTGCGACCAAACACAAATACTAACTCAAAGCAGGTCACACTAACGCTGACATGAGAGTGACATTGCCGGACGTCTATCGTTCAAGACAGCCTCCGCAATCTTTTCCTTTAGTTGAGACCGTTCGAAAATGATGTTGCACATATATACGCCATGTTTTTAATGAATTACTTGCGGAAGTTACGGTGGTATTACTTGCATTTAAAAATTGGCTTACTCCGAGGGGAGAATGAACTGCTTTTACTATAGTAAACTCATTAGTTCATCGTTTGGGACTGCTGTCTCAGATTGAAGCTTTTGAGAAAATGCACTTTAAGGCGTAATCTGTACTCGTTTAGGTTGCGCTTTTTAGAATGTTTCTCGTTATTCATATTCAGTGACAGACTGCGTCGAATGCACATCTAGCAAACATCTTGTTTGCTACGAGGCGTCGTAATGACACGTGATTGTTATATGCGTGAGTGTTTTTTTTTTTTTTTTACAAGATCGCCCAGATCATGTTGGCTGCTTGAGCAGATGTATTAAAAAAAAAAAAATCAACCGGTGCTTAGATTGCGCTCGGCCGTGTGTAATTCTTGCTTCGTCCCTGAAAGTGGCTCTGAAAGATGAATTCGTTCCAACTAGGCTGGCTAGCGGTTCGGTGTCTCGTTAGTCTCGCAAGTCTGTATATGACAGTGAACGTGCCTATCGAAACGCCACATTCGTTGGCACTACTAGCCACTACAAATGCGCGATTACAAGCTTCTAATCTACACGATACTATTTGTCGAGGCTTGGTTTCCGGGCACAAATGCAAAAAAAAAAAAGGGGGGGGGGGGGGGGAGGGCCGTGAGCTCAGGTTTACGTGCAGGTCAAAGAACACCCGGATGGTCGAAATTATTCCGGAGAGGCCTCATAATCGTAGCTTGGCCTTGGCGCGTGAAGCACCGGATTTAAATATCTTCATCTGCTGATCAAGCTAGTCTTTCCCGTTTTCGCTCGTGGTACTTCGCGTCGAATTCGCGTATTAGATCAAGTCCTCCGTTGCCATCCGGAGCTTATCTCCTCATTTATGGCTCTCTCTCTTGTGTGTGCCCGTGAGCTACTTGTTTACCCTATTCTGACACAAGCGAAAACTATGGCTGCATCCTCGTGTGATTGCCGACTGCACGCCGTGTGCTGCTGCGCCGCCGCCGATTCTCCGTTTCGAAGAGAGCCGGGCGCCAGCTGGTCGCATCGGGCACGTGCGCATCACGCCCCCTTCCGCTCTTGCGTTGTTGTTCCTGCGAAATGCGTGCAGTGTTGGCGAAGCTTGATCTCGCGTTTGCTCGATTGGCCAGTAAAGCGATGACCGACGAGATACAGTTCGTGCGTGTCAAGGTTTATTTGCCAAGGTTTATGTCAAGGTTTACTTGCAAAAAAAAACCATGTTATTAGAGGTAGGCCGTCGTGGAAGGCTCCAGAAATTTGGCCTACCTGGTGTTTTATAACGTGCACTGGCATTGCACAGTGCATGGACCTCTTGCATTTCATCATCATGAGTCCGACTACGCTTACTTCAGCGCAATAGCATCGCCCATGTTTCGCCAATCAACTCGGTCCTGTACTTTCCGCTGCCACGTGTATACCTGCAGGTTATTTCTGCAGCCATGTATATACCTGCCTATGCCATTTCACCTCCACCGAAACGTGACCGCCGCGGCCAGGATCCAACCCGCGGCTTTTGGCTCAGCACCACAACCACCGCGGCGGACATCGAAAGAAAGAAATCACGACGAAGAAGTTTAACGGGACAACGCGCTCTGTCCCGTTGACCTCTGCCCGTTGGTCTTCGTCGTTGCACTACTTTTGATCGGCGCGTAATTGAAACCGGATCTGCACCCGAAAAGTAGCGTGTCAACTCGCTCGGATGGTCGCCTGACCCATTGATATCGCTCGACTACAGTCGGGCACAACTTGAAGGGACACTAAAGACGGAAACGATTTTTCGCGTATTAGTAAAGTGCCATTTCGCAATCCCGAAAACAACACT